CCATATAGATCGGTTTGGGGACTTGGTAATTCGATACGAAAGCCGAATCCACTGGTCAAATGCGAAACACGCCGAATGAATAAACGGTCGTTCGTTGGGTATTCGATCAAGGTGTGATAATCATGACATTCGAGTGAAATTCTAAATTTTTCCGATGTCTTCGAGAGGTAGACAGCGTTTGCATTCGTGTTCCAAGGGAGGTCAAACGAAGGTCAATTTCAAATTACAAGCATTTTACTACTTCAAGAGTTACATGATCGCCGGGTACGTTAGACTAAGAACCCGATAAAAATAGACCGTATTCGATAGTGGTTCTATGTATCGTTTGGTTCAAAACAATAGAACATAACCTCAAACAAAACCATTAGGATTTCAGTTGGAAAAGCTGAAAATGAGAAAATTCCTCACAATTTCACTTTGCATTGGCGTTTGGTACTCAAAAGAATAAAAAAATCTATTTCAAAAGACCCGTTCCCTCAGATTTCTGAACTGACTTTTGAGGCTATGTTTATGTTTTGAACCAATCGATATCGATACAATCTCACCCGTTTGATGTATCGAATACAATCTATGGACAGGTTTCGAGTTTGATGCTCCGAATTGGGCTTGCATTAGCTTCCACGGTTTAAGCAACGTCATTTTCACTTGCCGTTTTAATTGTTCCTTCTTGCAAGGAAATGAAACCTAGTTCCTGTCATTTCGAGCCACTTATATGAACCGTGGGCAATTCTTTTTTCTTCGTCTGGAAGCTCCTTGAGCAACAGGAACGAGATCCTCCAGAAGGCTAAATTCTCTCCTGAGAGGCGCTCTACTATTCAAAAAATGACCCATACGGTTCACATTACATGCAGACGATTGAAAACGACGGAGAGTGCGGTTTAGCTGCACTCAACTGCATCGAGATGCAAACGCACGATAATCATGAAAATGATGAAACAGCGGTTATAGTTTGAATGTTTAGCGAGCATGACCCGCGAAGCGCACCACACATCTGCCGCACTAGGGTAGAACGCCGTATGCGCCACCAGACGTTGCCAAATTTCCCTCGACAAAATACGAATTTTCAGGAAAATTTGTGAAAATTCGTTTTCGATTTTTCGGTGCATTTCGTTTGTAATTTGTCTTAAAAAGTCTGAACATTTTGAGGGAAAATATTCATGACTTCCTTCGAAAATAAATATTTTCCGAGAAGAAGTTTGGCAACATTCGGGTTTATACGGTGTTTTTACTTAGAGCGGCAGAACATGCTTCCGGAAATCACACGTGCAACAAATCGCATCTGTCCGTGTCGCCGCGCCGCGCCCGCCGCACAGTGGAACAGGCCAATAGACGAAATCTGACGAGAAATTTTCGGTTAAAATTTCAAATTCTGATGTTTATCTCATTACAAATTTAATTCCAAGGGGTGCAATAGACGGGAAATGTCACGAAAAACCCAATGGAACCACTCTGGTTAAGAAGGCATAGTTGAAAATAGTTTTCATAGGCAAAATTTCTTGTTCAAAATCTCAAACCCATTCTAGAAAGCAAATGAAGGTGCTTTAACAAATTTTCCCTGACATTTTCGTCATTTCCCCTGACTTTTTAAAATTTTCTGACATTTCCCGGTTTTCCCTGCCTGTAGCAACCCTGAAATATGAGCTTTCAAAGTTTCCAGATTTTGTCCGACTTCTCCTTCTCCTTCTCTGACTTTTTAGAATTTCCTGACATTTCCCAGTTTTCCCTGACTGTGGCAACCCTGAAATATAAACTTTCAAAGTTTCCAGATTTCGTCCGATTGGCTCGGTCCAGTGTGCGCCGCGTGGATGAAAACCCGGATCGGGAGCTGGCACCGGGTCCCCACGTTCGGTTCGCGGTCGAGGCGAGGTGTCGGCCGCGCCGTTGGCGAAAAGCGCCGTTTTCCCGGGCGGCGTCGCCGATTTTCCGCGGATCCGACGTCTGACGCCGGGAAACTCGGCAACAGGACTTGGAGCGGTCGGGTGGCGGCTGGCCCAGTTACAGCTGCTCTTGAGCTTTGCATATCATATCGCTCCGCACCCCGCCGGCCCGCTCCTCCTGACGTTGCTAAATCTAATCGGGCCCGAGATCCCCCGTCCGCGAATCGCGATTCCAGCCGGGAGCTTTCCGAATCCGAATCCGCCGCACAAAGGATAATGTCGATCGGAGAGGTCGGACAAAATTTGGAAATTTTAAACGCTTGTAACTCCGTTTATACAAAATGTTGATGTACCAGGGTGGCTACTAAAACAGGCTGGCCAAAATTCAGTACTTTTACAGTACTTTTTCGGTGCATTCCCAAGAAATTCAGAACCTCCTCAACAGAAAAATTCAGTACTTTTTCAGTACCTTCATTTGACAAGTTCGAAAAATTTCAAAAATTTGAATTTTTTGCTCAAAATACGACAAAAATTACAAAAATTCCGTACTTTTTCAATACTACCGGACCGCCTTTCAAAAACCAGTACTATTTCCAGACTTTCCGGAAATTCACGACTTGTAGACACCCTGGATGTACTAATAGTGATTCCATTGGCTTCATCGTGAAATTTCCTTCCAGACGCACCTCTTAAAATTTAAAATTTAACGAAATAAACATCAAAATTTGCAGTTTTAGTCGAAAATTTCATGTCCGACCTTTCTGATTGCCACGATCCACTGTGCGCCGCTGACGCAAACAGTATCCGCGCTCACGTCACGAGTTCCAAGATTCCGCGGATCCACTTCCTTCGTGACGCTTACCGTCCTGGGTTTCTGCTGATTGCGTCCGAGTAAAATGAATCAGTTGTTTTCAAAAAGGAACAGGTTCATACCTCGATGAGTCTCAGTTATAGCGTGTCCTACTAGGCAAGTCAAGGCTCATGTAAAAACGGACTTGTTCCCTTTTGAAAACAACTGATTCCAATGGACTTGATATCGCAATTGGGCACTACGATAGCTGGTTCATCCGTAAAAATACTTATATGCATAGGGAAACTGGACCGCGTTTAGCAGAAAAGAACCAAGCCACATCAGTTATTGCCAAATTTGACTGGGCAATTTAATTTTTTACAAGGGAAGGTTTGTGCGGATTCCTGTGAAAATTTTAAGGAATTTGCTTCGTTTTATGCTGAAAATTCACTGAAATTAGAAAAAAAAATCCGCTCAACCCTTTCCGTGTAAAAAATTAAAGTGCCCAATTAAATTTGGCGATAGCTGATGTAGCTTGGTTCTTTTCTGTTTAACGCGGTCCAATTTGGGGACTACGATTGCTGGCTCATCCGTAAGAACACTTAAACACATAGGAAAACTGGACTGCGTTCTGCAGGAAGGAACCAAGCCACATCAGCTATTGCCAAATTTAACCAGGCAATTTAATATTTTACGAGAGAAGATGTGTGCGGATTCCTCAGAAAATTGGAAGGAATTTGCTTTATACTGTGTATAGAAATTTCACTGGATTTAGCACAAAAATCCGCACAACCGTTTCCGTGTAAAATGTTAAAGTGCGCAATTAAATTAGGCAATAACTGATCTTGGCCTGGTTCCTTCCCGCTTAACGCGATCCAACTAAATGGCGCATACGTCAGTTCGTCATTACATTTACAGACCAATCAGCGAGCACCACAAGTTGTGTTACACAAGAATGGGATCACTCTCCCTGCATAGGTACTTCTCATGCGGGGGATATCCATACATTTATGAAGCCGGACAAAACCTAACGCGTGCACCCGAGTACCAAGGCCTGACATTACACTTGGTTCAATCGGAGTAATCGAAGGTTCAGCAACTACAAGCCCCGCGGAAAAAGACCAACTTAATCTCGTTAGGGCGATGTTCGGCCAGATACGCCGTGCAGCGGCACCTGACGGATAAGAGGAAAAACAAAACGAATCCTCTTAATTTACCCACTGACCCAATTTTTGCATCCTTCCTTAACGTAACGACCAACTTTCCCGCTTCGGAAAATTCTCCGACTCGGCCGTGCTAAGGAATAACACCGTATGCGCCTCCAGACGCTGCTAAATTTCTTCCAATTTCGAAGATAATTTCAAACGTAATTTGATCTTGAGTAACTGAGAATTTCAAGCAAAAATATTCGTTTCCTTTTGGAAAACTTAAATGGGAAAAAGCAGCATCCCAATCATCTTGCTGAAAATTCGAAACCCATTAGAATTCTGATGTTGCTGTTCTGAGGAAAATCGCTGTAGGATCATTCGAAGCTGCTAAATTCCCCCAGAAACAATTTATTTTTGAAAAGAATTTATGGGAATGTTTCTACTTTCATATTAGATTAAGTTGTAATGAAAATTCTGCGATATATTGGAGGAAAATACAACTACATCATCGAGAAAATCCGGTTTTTTAAGGGCAGAAATTTGGCAACGTTTGGATACACATAAGACGTTTTCCCTTGGCAGAGCGGGCTTGTTTTCCGTGGCGGGCGTTTTTCGAGTCCTTGATTCTGGTTTTCCGGTTTTCGAGCTACTCCGGGCGCGAAGACACATCGAGGTTAATTGAATCACGAATTGGACATATTTATGCTAAAAGGATCTATGTGCATAGAGTTTACGTGCAATATAGTTTCTTTTAGCATAAACACGTCCAACTGAAGCTAGGGAACTCGGATTTGAGTTAAGTGTCGTCGGAGAGCAACTCAGCGGGGATAATGGATTCGTGGATAATGTGCGGTTATGATCCCGCATGATGTGGCCTCCGCTGGTCCACGGACTTAAAATCACGAGATTTTTCAGAATTTGGGTTTCAATTTTCCTGCAAAAACTGCAATTTGCACGCCACTACATTTCCGAACGCTTGCTCCATCTCATTAGCAACACGTGAGAGCACACATTTTGAATATCCTCTCTTCGATTTCGCCCTCCTGACATAAGGACGTGAGAACATAGTGTTGCACATTATTAATCGATTTTATTGGGTTCGAGTACTTGTTGGCTTATCCGTGCTTTGACCTATCGATTCGCGTCTTCGGTCATAAAAAGGTTGAGAAGAATGTGATTACTTACGATATCGTGACCGGCAGATCCACCTCGAACAACCTCGGGCGCCATGTATTCGATTGTCCCGCAAAATGAATAGGCTCTTTGTTCCTGCGAAAATTCATACAACAATTTCGTCAATATTTAAAAGAAAACATAGGGTTTTTTGTTTTTCATTTTCATTGCGGGCATTTGCCATACACAAGGGGATGAATGCAAATTTCATCGTTTCCGTTCAACTCGAAAACTTCATTTATGCTGAGACATGGATGCAAAAGCAGACACAAGGTAGAAACGACATTCCTCAGGAGAAGAGTGCGATTTTCTTTTAAGGATTATATTCTTGAAAAACTCACCTTTTCATGCGGCAGGAATTCTTTACTAAGACCGAAATCAGTGAGAACTATGTGACCATCTGAGTCCAGTAAAATATTTTCTAATTTGATATCACGGTAAATGATGCCCAGCTGGAACAGATAAAAAAACATGACAATTAATTTAACAAATTGGCGATGATCAAATTTAAACAGACGCATTTTCAATTCACAGCGGTTTAGTAAAGTTCAGAACCGAGGGCAGCATTCAGCCGAACTCACTCTTGAATTTAAGTTGATTTTTTTCGAACGTCAAGCAACCTCTGCGGAGGTGAAGGTCACAAGTTGGCAATAGTGTTTTACCTCCAATAGATTTATGTAAAAGAATCGATTCCTCACAAAATCGATTTTTTTCACTGACATTAAATGGCGAACAAGCGATGGCCAGAATCGCGGCTGAACTCCGGTGATTATATTCCTCATTTCGATAAATACTGGAAACTACTTGTAATCCGTAGAAAAATCGCAGGAGGGCTCGGTAAATTAAGTAAATTAATTATGAAGAGGACAGTTAAAACGGTCTTGACAGGAGCTGATGAAGACCTGGGATTGCACGTACAGACTCCATCGGCTAATTATACACGGCTCATACCGAATTCAATTGGAAGGCTGCCAAATTTAAGTAAAATTCTCGCTATTACAATAGCTGACAGTTCTCTACCGCAAGGTCATGAGGCCTGGAGTTGCTGTTTGTCAGCCGTTTGAGTAAATCGTTCGGCGAAATCGAAAAACCGGGTTTGAAATTGCAAGCCGTGTGAATTACCTACACATTTGGAATACCAATTTTTCTTTCATTTTTTCCGTGTTGGCTGGTCTAAACCACCCGATTTGACGACTTACAAATATGATTTTTATGATTTTTCTCAATTTCTAACTAACCATTAAGTTTATTTTTTCCAGAAAAAGCGGATACCAAATTTTTGTAAACGGATTAATTCCACCATTAAAGAAGCAAAAAATAACTAGGTATAGTGATATTACAATTTATCCTCCTGGAAAAACGTGATTTTTGGTTCAATTTTGTGTGCAAGTCATTAATTACTGGATTAATTTAGGCGAAAAATGCAGTCCAGTTCTGTGCTGACAAGTGACGTTATAGGGAAAAGAATTTCTAAGCGTTATTAATGATAATTTACACTCACAAAAATTCAAATAGATAATTCAATTCGCATGATTGCCCTGATGTCTTCATTATTTAATTCCCTTGCCATTTTCTCTTTTTCCCGACTCCAAAATTTTCGGATTCCCTGACTTTCCTTGACTTCCAGACCGTCAGCAACCCAGATTCGTCGTTTCACAGACAAAAAGGCGTAACAAAGTTTCAAAGTTGCAAAATTTTTACTTTTTTCTTACTGAGAAACTGTTAGACGTCTCTAACTGAATATTTCACCGATTTCTTTACAGTTAACACGCGAAAATCAGTAAAATTCTAAACGAGGGATCGATGACGAGATAAAATATGCGGCGAAAAGGCAACGCTGTAGAGTTTTGAGAAACTCATTTTTCCACCGAACGGCTGCGAAATCCATCGGCAAGCATCGATCACAGCCAGCCTAGTTTCGTAGACAAGCATTTACGCTAATTGAATTTTTACGGCCCGCTGTTCTCTCTCTGTTGCAGAGATGAGGAGTCGCGGTGACCGTCGTGAGAGAAGAGAAACTCTCCGATGGAACGCAAATTGCCCGCTCAGAACCTTCCACCGCACAATGGAAAGAGCCAACGAGAGACCAGACAAAATGTAGAAACTTTAAAAACTCACGACTCGCTTAATACAAAACTTTGAGGCTTTAAAAGTGGTTTCATTGTGGAATTATCTTTGCGATGGATCCCTAAAACTTTTAATTTTGACGAACTGTGCGTCACCGCTTGAGGAAAACACTAACCGAACCCGTGCCCTGTAGCGAGAACCGCGCGCAGATCTCAGAAGTCGCCTTCAAAATCGAGCGTATGCAAACCGGCCTACTGCGGAGTTCAAATAGTTGCATGTTAGGTTCGAACCCAACTTCAAGCATTCTTCCGTTGTTCTACGCTTCGCGCATTGTTCAGGCGACGAGTTTATCTTTCAGAAAGGCATCTTGGTTGGTTTATATTGCATTATTATAGGGCAAATCATTATCATTTACCTAAAGAAAATTTTTTTTAAAAAATGTAAGAATTATACTGTCATCTGAAGAACAATGCCGTATTAGCATTCGGACTTTTTGCAATGAGGAACTATTACTTCTGGGCCTGCATAAAGAACCAATGGCACTTACGTTGTTTCTAAAATAAGACAGCAAAGTGCTTCCTTATTGCAAAACGTAGCCCGAGTCACGTCACGTTGTCAATGCAAGTGGTAAGCGCCTATCGCACGCACACGATGATGTACAATTTGCGCGATAGTTGCATCAATTTTCAATTATGTAACTATCGAATTCAGCGACTGCTTGGAAATGGAGAACCAGAGTCAAAACTGAGAGTCGAAGCTGATACGCGGTTGGGCCAGGTGACCAGCGGGTGCGGTGCAAGTTCCGTTGCTGGTCAGGTTCGCCGAGTCGTTCGTGGCGAGTCGAGGAGACCTTGCTCCCGGCGAAATCAGATTCAGTTTGGCGCAAGTGGCCGACACCGTTGTCAAATCGAGCTGGATCACGAAGCGCACCGTTCAACAACTCGGAGAAGAGTGAGGGAAATATGTAGTTTTGAGGAAATAGACCCAGCAGCGTTCGGCCAAAAAATGTTATTAGACTTATCATTCTCCACCCTAAAAGGAGGAGGAAAAAATCTACAAGGAAATAGGGATAAGCGGCAAAAAGGCTCACTAAAAATTTCGTCGTTCCGCCCACGAAAGAACGTAAGTTCATTTCAATGTTGCCAAATTTCTCCTCGCACGATGCATTTTTTCAAGAGGAATCTTAGGCATTTCGGATTGAAAGTTCCACTGACTTTTCTCCTTATTTAATGCAGAATTCCGACAATTTTTTTTTTTTTT